CATCATATATTCAATATATGTATAATACAAATTATATTTTCTTATGTTTTTTGAACAGAAAGCAAACGGACAAGCCAATGGACACTCACACTGCCAAAAGGCTCGCAAGTGTGTTGCCGGCATTTTAGGTTCGGTAATACCTATGTACATATTTCCGAACTAATTCGATATGCTTCTATAGATAATGGTGGTGTCGCAAACATATTTATTTAAATTATTATATAATTGTAAAGTAAATATCGCTCTTAAAACCGCTTTTTATGTCCTCGATTCTCTATCGAATAATTTGAGTAAACGATGTAAGCAATTACCTGTTTTAGTATGTGCAAAAAACTAATAACAAAACCTAAATGCATAAATTAGATATAGTTTTGCACGCTCTGTTTATTTGCGATGACAAATGTTTAAAAAACAAAAGAGCATCACCTACTTTGGTTATAATTTCCGTATACAGTTATATTGTCGAAGCATATGTTTGAACCTAGAACGCATTTTCGCGTTCTATGGACTAAGTACTTAGTAGTTAGTACAAAAGGGTAGTTTAAAAAAGTATTGATTTATAAGTAAGGTTGTATTAAGAAGCTTATTGCCGTTTAACGTATTAAACGCGTAATAAATGTATGAAAATCTTAGTTTTCGCGTTATTGTGTAGATCACATTCCCACAAATATTTTTAATAGACCTTAGCGTAGTTAATTTGTTGATAACAATAAAAGTTTAAAAATTATACAAAATAATTACATAAAACAAATATATTTTCATAATTATCTATTTTAACTGAGAAGTACTGGCATCATCGTGTGTATGTTATCCCTGAGGTCGTAGCTTCGAATCCCGGCTGTGCACCAATGGACTTCCTGTCAATGCGCGCATTTAACACCCGCTCATACGGTGAAGCAAAACATCGTGACTAAAGTCGAGAGAAATAAGTCATCGGCGTGTGTCAGGCACAGAAGGCTGATGGCTATGGCTGACCTACTTCTCTATTAGAAGAAAACAAATGATCACGAAACAGATACTACTAACTAGTTTTTAATTTTTAATTTAAATTACATAGCACGTTGATTATTTTCAAACACAAGTTCAAAATCGAAAAATAATGTTTTTAAAGAAAACACTTTTTTACCGGATTGAAGTATAAGAAGTTGAAGTTTTTAATGTTTTATCGGGAATTCATCCAGTAGTTCCCGTACACCATGCGTTACCTAGCTAAGTTCGATATAAATCATCCAAAACATCTGAATACATACAATAAATTATAAATGTTTCTTATTAAGCAACAACCGTTAGCATATAATGTGGCAACCTTGAGTAATCGTACAGATTGGTCATTCTGATTACTCTTATCATACGTTAGGTCATTGATATCGGTGCGATGCATTGAACTCACGAAGTGTGATGAACTAAAAATTAATTTTCGCAAGGCATCATGACACAAAACAACCTGATACTCTTCATACATAAGTCTGAATGCACTCTTGTTTCTATTCTCTCGTCTCTTTCTGTCAAATTCTGTTCACGCTGTGATGAAAAGAGGCAGATAGGTGAATGATTGGATACAAATATTTAGACGAAAAGAAAATGGCTTTTACGCAATTGGACATTTTTCTTATAGGATGAGCAAAAGCCGGGACGCCCAAAAAGTCCATCGCAGCCCATGGACCCATACTTCCCTAATGCTCATTTTTTAACGACCTATGAGATGATATTTGCGTATAAGAAACTGTCTAAGCATACATTAGCTTGTGTGTCAGAAATAATAGTTTACCCACATGACACTATATAAAGCCTTTGCTTCAGTAACAATTCTTAACAATTTTTCTGCAAATCGTAAAGTAAAATCTAAAAAAGTTATCTTAAGTGAATGCACAATGAAGGTGGAAAAATCAATTAACTTTTTGCACACTTATCTACCGAAACAAAAAATGTCATTGTCACGCTTAAAGGACGGTGAGGGCATTACAAAATGTGGATATTTAAACCTATATTTAAATTAAAGTTAAATTTAGTCGTATTAAATACAAATAATTAAAATACACAGTATCGAAATAAATTTTAATGTGTCATAATCTTTTAAACCAGATCAAAGTGATCTGAACACATACTACAGAAATGAAACACAACTTTTGGAAGACATCATTAATATATATATATATATATATGACAACCAGAACATTTTTTTATTTCTAAAAAGATAAGACATAAAATATAGCTTTAGACAGGCTAGTTACGAAAAGATTTATTTGGAAAATTCTATTGTCGACTAAAAATTAGTACTTTTCTTTACTTATTATTTATGTTTCCCATCGTTCTTCCTTGAACTTCCACAAATATTTCAAGATCATTATTAGCCAAATCGGTCTAGCCATTCTCGAGTTAAAGCGAGACAAACGAACAGGAATAAATTTACATATATAGATAGATAGACACAAGTTTTGAACACTTTATGAAATAATGATCGTAATCGATAAAATTTGTGCTAAGACAGAAAAGTGTTTAATAATATATGTAGATGCAACAGTCCTATTATAAAGCAGCACTTATTTATTCAAAGACAGTCTCCGAAAAAGTTTATCGTAACATTAAAATAAATTCGTAAATATATAAAAAGAAAAATTTAACATTTCAAAGCTAGGATCATTTGCCTCTTAAAGATGTTATATTTATACCTGGATAAAGGTTAACTTAACAGAAGAAAAACAAAACATCAAACATAACCTTTAATAATTTTAGTTATGTAAATAATGTTTACAAATTCTAATATCTATGACGCATTCACTATTACTCATTATGTATTATCAATGCGATGTGTATGCTTTACGCATATCGAAACCAGATACAATCCACGCGCAATTATACAATTATCAAAATAACCAATGCAAGGTATATGTTTGTTACGAAATAAAATTTTCATCGATTTTTTTATTAATGATTAAAGATAATAAACCCATTGTTTAAACAATATTTCTTTTCTTTATCCAAATAAGTTAATTAAAAATATATTTACCCAAAAGTAATGAATACATACCTAAAATTCAAAACGGAAACATTTAAATCCTCTGTGACATTGTACGTACGATGACCTGATTTTAGTATGTTTTTGATAAGACGACCTCGTTATGGAATTAATGACATTCGTAACAAAGGAAGGAGATGCGCAAAACTATAATTGCCATTTAAAAAATATTTTATTTAATTACATTGACTAAATGAGTGTCTATGGACTGCGGTTGTAGCGTCTTATGGCCGACCCTCAGGGTTATTTGCCTTTTATATTGGACTTTGTAAACGAGCAAAGAATTCGTGAAAAGTAATTCTGTTAAAAGACTTATAATTTCGCCGCATTAATTTGGCCCACGAATTCCAAAATAGCTAAGTACCAAACACGAGTAACGTTTCTATAAACATCAAATATTTGCGTACTCGTGTTAGAAACGTTTGTTACAAATGTTTACTAGTCGTGACCTTCAATACAATGTTTAGGAAATGCTTCACAAGCGGACTATTAAAATTAGAATTATTTTCAAATAATTAGTTGGTTTTTAACCATCGGTGTTTTAAAGGTCGGCAACGCACTCGCGATTGGTATTGAGAGTGTCCATGGGCGGCGGTATCACTCACATTAGGTGAGCCTCCTGCCGGTTTGCCCTCTGTTCTATAAAAAGGAATAAAATTGTTAACATAGTTGATCGATTTTATCGAAGAATTGACGGTAAATAATTTAAAGAGTTTATCCTCAGTACTTTATCACATTGTGATACATAATATGTATTTATAATATCTACGTAACCTATATTTATGATCGAAACACGTGCTATTGACGAGACATTAATTTTGGACCTAATTATATAGCTGTCATTTATATTTACATAACAATATATCTATCTATAACTACAAGCTATTAAATTATAGTAAATTTAAAGGTTCCTGACGAGAAATAGCTTTCCTAGATCGGCGTAATTCAGAATAGCACTACAGAATCTTTAAAACGTATCATTATTCTATCACCTGAATCGACATTTCTAAGAAAGCTAATGTAATCACTCTACGATATAACATACATACATAATATGCAAATGTAACAAATAATTTAAAACAGCATTAATTATGACCTACCTCAAAACTATCATGACAAATTAAAGTGATGATGTATCATGTAATCTTATAATAGTTAAAAATATTTATGTGAAATCTATGTAGAATTACCATAAAAATATATTTTATTTATTTATATTATCACGCCTTTTTCTCGAAGGGGTAGACAGAGACCACTCCACTTGCTAAAGTCCTGACATACCTCTCTCGCTTCATCCACTCCATCATGACTTTCACCACCCATGCTCGTCGGTTATGGTTACTTGTCCTTCTCTATGGTCCTGGATTTGGATTGGTGGTGGATTTGGTCCAGGTATGCACGGCCTACCCAACTTGACTTCACTACGCAGGGTTGCCTTGTATATCTTACTTGTTAACCGCTTCTCATTCATCCGTTCTACACGGCCAAACCACCTAAGCATTTTCGTCTCCTCGTCACAAAGTCAAAATCATTTATTCATAGGTAACACAATGTACACTTATGAACGTCAAAAAAGAAATAAGTATTTAAAGCTTCTAATTTTACATTTACTGCCAGTTCTCAAATCAAGGGTGTAGAACGGAAGAGAAGAACTGGCAATAAACTCTCCGCAACTCTTTTAAATTGCCAAGTTTTTTGGTTTTACACAATGATTGTGAGGAGCTGCAATCAATAGTTAATTAATCATAATAAAATAAATTTATAACAAAGATTTGTCCTCTATCAGCAGGAGACATGGTAAAATAGGAGCTTACATTCACGTAGGAACAACACGCAAATACATAGTCGAAATAACTAACATAACACGTTAGTGGTATCCTTTGATTCTCAATCCTGAAGCGGTGAGTAAAACCGAAATCGAAGTCATATCAATATTTGAATCGTCTGGATTAACTAAACTTTTGTTAATATATTATTTTATTCATTAACGGCTATTTAAGTCAGGATTTACATGCACACAATCAAAAGCTTCTCTGCTCAAAGCTTCCGTAAACGCTCTATATTTAGTAGCACGGTTCTTTAGTAAAACTACAGTTAGAGATAATTTAATGAACTCGGAGTACGGCTGATAGGTATTTCATTGCTATTATTATGCAATGGAATAAGACATTTTTCTATTAACTTGGTCAAATTTTACTGCTTGCGAAAAGTATGTACATAAAGTTGCAAAGAATTATTTGATTGTTTGCTTGCGTGAATATCCAATGCTACTGTACCGATTTGAAAAATCTTTCACCATTAGAAACCTACATTATCCCTGATGAATAAATAGGCTATTGAAAATTTTCAAGACGTTCATCCGTAAAAATACCAATGAAATCCCTATAACGCGCACGCTGCGATAAAGTGATGTTCTACACTTTTTTAAGAGACATCAAGAGTCCGCAATACCATGTCTACTAATACATATTTAATCAAAATAGCCGTGCCTAGAAGCCGGGACTGAACACCAACTGAATTATTTAAGTAGTACATCAGAGTTTGTCACCATACATTGCCACATAAACAACAAAAACTGCGTGTCATACAATCGCAGTGCGCAACTATTCACAGTGAAACCGAAAGTAAAAGTGTGCCAAGAAAATGCGGTTGTATTATGTGCGCATACGACTTAGCACATGTCACTTTTAGTGGGCTAATTTAATCAGGTTACGATTTTGCATATAATATGTACTTTTATTTTATATAGAATATGTAAAAAGGTCTTAAACATCCAGCGTTAAACTTATAATTCCTAAGTTGAAGAGTAATAAGTAGTATTATCTATACCTACTTTAGAAATATTTATCTTAGTTTCCGCTTTTTTTATGTAACTCTACTGTAATGTACTTTATTTAAGGTAATAAACAGTTATAGTCTAAAATACAATACTAGCTATTTTTACTTAATTGACAGTCCACTCACCAGTGTCTTTAAATAACTGTCTAATAAACCTAGCACTTATGTTCCCAGTTCCTTCTCTAACACTAACTGAGACGGCTAGATTCTTCGCACCGGTATGTAGAGGACATTCACGTTGTGAAGAATACTCTGTTTGGTTTAGGCTTTGACAGGATTTTTCTTCATGTTTTGGCTAGTAATAATTTGGATTATTTTAGGCTTAACTAACCTGTGCGAGTAGTTTATATTATTAGTACAAGACGCTACAGCGCTATGCGCTACAGCAAATAGAAAACATATCTATGTTCCACTGTCTAGCATTAGATAAATCACCATCGCTTTCACAACTGACAATGGGTAAACTGTGACAATATTTACTGACCGTAAAATGAGATGGCAAGGTTTGTTAATAATATTAGAGGCTCATCTTATATTTTTTCTCATTAAACCGGTTTAGTTGTTTACATTAAATTTGGTTATTTTCCGGAAACAATTAACGACATATGACATTGAAAATTCGATAAGTCGTAGTGAGATATCCTTCTCATATAAACATAATATTTACATGTTATCAAATGTTTATAAAACTCATTATGATTCAACATAGAAAAATATAATCATATGTATAGTCTGTGTCTTATTGACCGAGTATACATATGATTAGAACTCTCTTATTGACCTTCATTACACAAAAAATAAATAAGGAGTATTCTAATTTTTTTATTAAACCTGCTAATTGGATAGTATATAACTTCAATAGCTTCCTGGCCGAGAAGCTAAACTGCAGGGCAGTATCTATTGTCCCTTTTCCTAGAAATGGACTTTTATGTGACACGGCATATAATCGTACTTTCATATATGACCGAGGCAAGTGGACATCCTATCTTCGTACCTACAATGCCATTTTCGCCTGTCCGTGTGGAGGTAGACGATACATTTGTGCTATACTTACTATATTAGAAGCCTTTAGATCCACGGACCTCCAGGCTAAGCATCGCTGAACCATTGACTCTTACAAAATTATTTGGCTACCTTTGCATTGAACTGTGTTTTCGATATATTAAAATTGTATTACAATTATAAATGTAGATGGGAAGTAACAGGCTCCTCAGTTTATGACAATAAATAATTATTATCTCTTACCTTGTCAAAACTGATGGCATGCGAAACAGAAACGATGAGATCTTTCTTCTTCTCAACCTTGTAGCCCATGATGTGGTTTTCTTGAACTGTATGAACAACGAATCCCTTGGAGTCAGGGCTCCAGGCGATGTGTGACGCGTAGTCAAACTCAATATTAACTCTTATATTTCTGTGTTCTTTGCTGTTCAGATCACGAACTTCCCATAAAATCACCGATCCATCTGTAAAGTTCACATTATTATATCTAAATCTATAATATAAAAATGAATCGCAAAATGTGTTGGTAAGCGCATAACTCAACGACGCCTGGACCAATTAGGCCAATACTTTTTTTATAATATTCCTTGAAGTACGAGGATGGTTCTTACGGAGAGAACACTTTTCTATATTCCCATACAAAAGATTCGTAATAATACTTAAAAGTCAATTTGAACTTTAATACCATACCATAAAGTTTAAGTGTTAGTGGAGGGGTTCCGGAAAGGTTTTTTTATTTTTTGACATAAATGTATTTGTTGTCTTATCAACTTTCTTTTTTTTATCTTACTAGCTGGACCGGCGTCCCGAATAGCAGAATGAGTATTTAAAAAAATAAAGAATCGACTGTTAGGCGGTACGATGTTCGCCAGGCCAGCTATTATAAATAAAAATCCTTAAAAAGCCTAAGTTAAAGAACGTTTTGTTATGTTTATTTTCAAAAAGGGAGAAAACAGTGAATAGGGAAATTGTTTATTTTGTTTTCGAGCTGGATGGATTGCAATTCTAGCATTGTTCTGTTAACAACCAAATCTTTTACCCTGCTATATATTCATGTTATAGTGTTATGAACGATAAGACCTCTGTATTATATTGTGCTTTAATATTTTTATTTCAATTTGTATTTACATTGCGATGAAGAAACGCACTAGTTAAAAAGCATTTAGAACGAACTGTGACAGTGTTATTCACATTCAAGTTAAAATAGTTCTTAATTAATACCACCTGGATGAATAATAAACAAATTTCTATGTTTTTCAAATTGTAGTTATTTATTATATTATTAACACACCTATCCTCCGACCGTCAATCAACCGAATATAGCCATCCTCGACACACCAAAAAAGGTGCATTTTTTATCTTGATTGATTGACGTGTACACAATGTCAAAATGCATCTGAGCCATGACAGTAAGCTTAATGTCAACCTTGTACTTTTTGACCTTAAATTCACCCACAAGTTTTATAACAATGGGTAAACTGATTAAAAATTCGACAAATATATTGTATATGCAATCAAATTACTTTAACTTAATAATTGAATGGCAATTTTGTGGCTCTATCCAGCCCAAACATACGTTTAAACAAGTTTAACGTCTGCATCAAATATTTGTATGAAAAATCTTAGTAAGATAGAAGTAAGATTTTTCTTCTTGATCTAATATAGAGGTAATTCACGTTAGTATTTAATACTCCAGTAGCTGACAAACACATGGTGGGTTGAGCTACTAATGACAACATAGTGTGAACAACTAATAATTAAAGTAATTAATTTATAATATACGTAGCTTGAGGGTCCACTTTCCAATGTTTAGTGCGACCTTATGACCTTGAACTAATACATTCCTATAATTGCATCCCTTCCGACGGAATAAATTAATACTAAAATAAAGTTATTGAAACGAATATCATTCATTTCAAAGAATTTACGGGTTTATAACATCGTATAAGTTTATATCTCTATATGTATAAAATTCTCGTGTCACAATATTCGTTCCCATACTCCTCCGAAACGGCTCGAACGATTCTTATGAAAATTTTTATGCATGTTCAGTAAGTCTGAGAATCAGAAAACACCTATTTTTCATCCCCAAAATGTTTCGGGTGGTCCCACTCCTAAATTTTAAATTTTTTAGAGAAAACTTTTTGATTTTATTTTTGTATGATACAGCATACAAATAAATAAAATATATACAACCCTTAATTGTCACCCCTCTACGATAAACCCCTATTTTTTATTTCATAATTAAAAACTTATGACTTGAACTCTGTGGTTTATATAGATAAAAATTCACAAAAACCCCTAAAAAGTTTTCATTCCGGAAAACCGAACAGTCTTTGGGGTAGCCTAGCAAAATGTTCCATGTTGGTATGCACAAAAAAAATAGGCTAAGTAAAATCACATTAAGGAGAAACGAAGTTCGCGGGGGCAGCTAGTTATTTATATGTTTTACCAGGTTAAGCGAGAAATGAGAACGGTACACAACAATTAAAAATATTCGTCTACAAAAAAGAAATAAACGTTCAAGACTAAAAGCCACATTTGTATTTTGCATTATGAAGGTGAGTTGTAAACAGCATGAATGATAAAATACGGCCCTAGCGTGAACACCTGTAGAAGACTTGCAGGTGCATGGCCTTTGTGCCATTTAGTATTAGCTTATGTCCTCTAACTAGTCGTTTCTTAGTTTTTTTTTTGTATATTCTTCGATAGCCAGAAAGACTGTCTTGACACTTGTTATTCAAGGAATTATCGCTTATCGTACTTTTGACAAAAAGAATGCTGTACTACTGTTTTATAATTTTTGTATTAATGACGTATAAAAAAATTCCCGATGATAATTACGCTAGGATATTACGCCAAACCTCTGAATGAATGTAGAAACTACGAAATAATATTTATGAATACAGTAGAACTCCAATTATCTGAATTAATGGGGACCGGGACCCATTCGGATAATCAAATATTCGGATAGTCGGATTTTTAAAAAAAAATTGCCATTAGAGAATAAAAGCTACGTTTTGAAATTGCACTATGTTTTGTTGAATTAAATGAAAGAAACATGAAATTTTCACATGTTTTAAATATAAATAAAATGTACTTATGTACAAGTTTAGAAATAAAAATCATTGTTTTTTAAACATCTCCGTCAATGTAAGCTGTTTTGCGGTCTTCAACCGTTTTCGGGCAGCCAGGTCACGCATTCGCTTGACGGTGAGCAGTTGCAAGTGGTCTCACTCGCACTTCGGATAATCGGCGATTCGGATAGTCGGAGTTCGAATAATTGGAGTTCTACTGTACTTTAGAAACTTTGAATCCCAAAGTATAAAAGCAGCGGATATGTGCCAGTAATACTGTTTACGTTAACCTATCGGGCATAACAAAAGTGAAAGTGGATGTGGGTTCAAAGAGGCTAAGTGAGACGATGTCATCGCACTGTTTTGAGAAACAAATATACAAGAAATCTTTTAAAGTTTAAGTAAAAGCTAAGACACATGTAAGGAGTCCTTACTTATTTTTATTTTTACCTACCTCACTGTATAAGAAGGGTATATTGGAAAACGTAAAAATTCGCTCCACGCTAGCCTTCATGTTTATATAAAGTATTTGAACATGATTCTTTCGAATATAATTAATATTTGAACTTGTGATAACCTACCGCTCTACATATTTCCAGACAAAATGCACACACGTAAGATTATTAGTAAGTATTACATAAATATTCCAACTATACAAGAAATCAGAATATGAATTTTATAGATTACTAACTGTTGTTCGTATCACGGCAGTGCAAAATATTTTAACGTGATCAAGAGCGCTTGGGCCTAAATTTGGTTAGTAACAGTGTGATATAGTGAAATCCCAAGTCCAAGTCAGGATATAGCCAGAATTTCTTAATTTAATCAAAAGAAGAATCAATCATTCTCCATGTAAAATCTCTTCCATCTGGAAATTCTTGCTCGCTCGGGCAAAGGCCCATTGGTTCGTTGCTTAGTTTTAAGGTATCGATAACTTAATTGAAGATGATTGATTATGCTAACCATCAAAAGTATTCGTATGTAATACAATTATTCTTGCTCTAGATATTGTTACAATCTGTGTTGGTACTTGTAGAGTACAATCGATAAACTAGGTGAGCGTGCAGTAATGCGGGAACCGGCGAAAGGTCACCAGAGCAGATATCGAAACTGAGTCACTGTAACAAGGCCTTGGGTTTCAGGCGGTTACCTGAAGTGACGGTCGATCGGCAATGGCTATTTGAAAACGTAACGAGCATTCACTTTACAGTGAGCAATATAAAAATAATCGTTTAAAACAAAAAGTGAGGTCTGTGGAACCATTTATACGATTTTTAAAATCTGAAAACGTTTATGGGTCCAGGTGGCAAAATAACCAATGGTTATATCCATACAACGACCACTATGTAAGGACCTATATGGTCGCCAAACTCCAAAAAAGTACATTGTTTCTTTCCATTTTTCGTCATCTTTTGTTGAAGTAGGGCGAATGGAAAAAATATATGGTGGAGTTGAGTAGTTTATGTATCCATTTTGAAAGATCGATACACGATTTAAATAACTTCGCTCGATAGAAAAAAATCCATAGCGAATTTTTGACACTTTGAATTCATTTTATGATGAAAATGTATATAGGACATGATTTCAAAATTTACTCGATAAATTTATTAGTTTTTCATAACTAATTGTTATTACGGGCCGGCCGCGGCGCGCCTCAGTGCTCCAGCTCTCCAGAGCGCCCCGCAGACCTCCCCGAGACACTGACACAGCAATTCGTGCTGGGATAGAGCCTTTAGCCTTGACTAAATTACCTGAATCACGAGCACACCCCACATACACACTATCTTAATTTTTATTGATTTTTTCCTTTCGTAAATATTTTTAACCTTTATGTATATATTATGTATTCCAGCTCTGATTATATGTTTAGTATAATTGTTTTTTGTTGTATATAATTTATGTTAGCTGTAAGAATTACGAAATCAATCAATATAATCTTATTGTATGTAATCATTTCATTTTATTAAAAATGATTAACACAGGAATATTTATATACCTATAATTAATCTCTTTGCGCCAATGATAAGTGAGAGTTTTAAAATATTCTTACTTAAAATTTAGTTTTTCTAAAGTGGTAACAGAAAATAAACCACTAATTATTATAACTTAATTAAATAAATAAACATAAATATCGCTTTTAACTCCGAAAAACCAGAAAATTTCAAGTCAACATCATCCATATGTTTAATTTACAGTAATCATACCAAAGTGGGCTTTGCAAGAGTTTTCACCATCACAAATCCATTTTTCATCAATTTCTAGTGAACTATAAAACTCAATCGACATCTTTAGCGAGAAATTGTGTAAAAGTAATCATGATAAATATGATTAATGTGTGTTTTTGTTTCCGTCATTTCATTAGTCATTTTCTAATGTAATCTAGATTTTATCATTATGTGTAAGAACGGTTTAATTATATCCTAAAGTGAAAGTAGTTTCCTTCTTCCGATCATCTATGTAAATCGAGTTATGTACTCGGTAATATAGCGTGCTTCTTGACAATTTTATTACTAAGCTAAATTGTCTCTTGTTAAGAAAATTTTCGGGTGAAATTGTAAAAGTATTAATATCTCAATTGAAAAAACTTTATGAAGCAACATCAAAACAAAATACTCTATATGGATATATAACCAACCTACACACAATAACGTTGGCGTATAATACTAAGGAATACTTACCAGATATAATTTTGGATCAAGATCGAATATATTATCTTGTAATTCGTATATGTAAATTAAATCAGTACCTACTAGATTATATTATATTAGCAAGGCATTTCACGCCCTATATGTTGCTATCAGTTTACAATTATCTTCATATATAATAAATAATGCACCAATAAAGTGCGCTTGTCAAAATATGATAATATACCAGGTGAGATACGATATTCCTGTATCTATTTTCCTTATTAAATTTATAAGTATTCCTTCCTTTGTGGTTAATTCCCTTTAAAATGGTATTTTATGACAGGTTTGCATACATTTTGAAAAGCACATATCAAAAAGATCATGCCAAAATGTACACAAAACTATTGCAACACTATAATAAAATCTATACATACAGCGTCAGCAACTGTAACAACTATGTATTCCCAATAATCAATACTGGCTAGCTTATATCAAGCATGCAGCTGAGTAATGAAGGCGGTAACAAATTCATTTCTGTCTCGGATCACGCAATATTACACTTCTTGATTTTCCTCAAAGTACGAGGGTGACGTCAATAACCATCTCCAACCCACCTGACGCAATATCCGGGGAAAAATCACATCCGGCAAGTAATATAAGCTAGCATATTACACGGAAAATATTAGATTTTCTCCATTCTGGGAACCTGACCTGACTTAACATATAATGTTAAGGATATATATTATATACGTTAAACCATGCGTCGCGTGTCGATTAGTGATTCAATGTTTACTTATCGCATTATTAATTTTTTTTTCTTAGAATCGTCTTTAATAAAAATTACATCTATTAATATATATTTTATTTTTTTTAATTACGGTGACTCCATCCATTCAGACTTTGGGAGCGTTCAAGTATTACGTAACGAATTTTGGGGGAAGAGGGGGTCCTTTTGTAAAACGTTACGATACAGGGCGGGGATTGAACTACGCGTTATTTTTAATATTATTTTCGAATTTCAAGGACTTTAACAACATAATGGTATAAAGAGTCACTAGGTGGTCACTACTACTATTTTACTTTCTTGGGTACACTACTGTACTTGGGTATAGAAAAACGTTACAGCGCGTTACATGTGGGGGGGTCAACAATCTCCAAAATTGACGTGACGTAATACTTGAACGATCCCTTTTGCCTAATAAAATGAACTTTGACGTATTAGTTATTTGGATATTATTAACATCATTTGGTCAAGCGGTAGGTATGTGTGACACACAAAAACATAGCAACAATTACGAACGACTAGCCAGGTAGACCACATGTAATGATGAAATCACTCCACAAAAAACAAGTGACTCGTCATGTTTTTGTTTCATGCTGATCTTATTTTAAAAATTCGTTCACCTTTATAAAAACGTATAGAACATCCTTTGGCTTCTCTTGGAATGCTTTTGTAATCCTAACCTGTTTACCTTCACTAACCTGTTATGATTCACTCGCCTGGACTTTTTAGTCGACCATTGAGAGTTTAATAACATGTGTGGTGTGCGTTTAATAATAATACCTTACGATGTTTTTAATATCATATAAAGAGAACTGTTCGTACAAAGAAGTGTGATTGTATTTTTCCTTGTTCCAATGAAATATCGTGCTACAGACAGAGACAAACAATATATTATAACCTCATATATTAGTTTAAGATTTATTTTAACAAATCATTTTTTACATGGCATAGGTAATGAGGTTTTTGTTTGAAATAATAAAACAGGTATTGCAACATTAGATACATCTAAACATGTTTTTATATGTTAAAATATTCGTCATCTATATAACCTCACGTTACATACATTTCTGGGTCGATATATTCAAAGTTTAAGCCTGTTTGACCCACATTTGATAAGCTCTAGAATTAATACGATAACGAAATTTGCAATTTCCAATGCGTATTATCCATCGCGGTCTTAGTTCAACATGGTTCAATGTACCTTCAAGGGAACTAGGAAGTTAATGCAGACAAAAAACTTGAACCTCCAACAGTCATCTGTATATGTGTTCGTAAATAATCGCTAACATTGGCTCACATAACAAGATTATTTTAACAAAAACTAGTCATATAAATTCAAGGTCCGGGGCTCAGCTCAAAGGTTTTATGTAAATGTTTAATTAAGATGTGTAAATATTTTCTTTATAAACTCGTTTACATTACCTTCTTTGTAGCATAATTTTGATCACTTCCTATTTCTTCTTCCTTCCACAGCGTCACACAAACGGCGTCGATTATGTAATCATGACTTCCGTTCTCAATAAGATATTTAGTTTGAGACTTATAAATGACGTCAAATGGAGAACTCTTAGGACTTTGAGGCAATTAAAATAACGTGTACTGGGGAGGGAAATAACGATGACGACATAGGTTATGTGGTGTCATGGTGGTTCGGTAGGGACGTAGGTGTGTCGGAGGCTATGTCGAAAGAGACAGTGCAACTTATTGTGAAAGACTCTGTGGGGGCGAACTACGAGGCGCCAGGGCCATACCAATATTGTTCTGTATTGTACAAATCTTTGTTAAACATTATACATTCGAATACTATATTCAAATTCGGTAATCTTGTCTCTGTACAAGATTTATGAAGCCCACGCATTAAAGGCTTATTACAAATTCCGATTTAAACTAGGTTATGTGGTTACAACGGTAATCAATGATCAGAATCAATTACATTTATTTAACTGGGTTAGTATTATCTAATATGGGAATTATTAAAATGCAAACGATATTTGAACCGATCATGATACCTATATTAATTTCAAAGTCCAAACCTGCAGACATCTAAAACTAATTTAACTTAGATATCACAAAATAAACTTAGATCGGCACAAACCAGGTCAGTGTTGAATAAATTACGTATAGAAATCGCTATCAAACATAACCAACACTTTGAACTCGTTCGATGTGGCAGGGACATATCCACAACTAATTCTTCGAAGCAGTGACTAACAACTTTATTGAAAATACACGTAACACCATATTGCTCACAATATTTGGCAAAAGACTTAATACGATTACATGATAAATGCTGGCATGCTTTAATAGGCTATTTATATTCATATCTATGTATCAAATTCAAGAAAATATTATGCCGTAAGCGATAAGATAGACTGTTCTATTTGCCTTTACTTTTATCACTGGTATCGAATGAGGAAATATAATTATATCGTGCTAAATGGCCTTTTGGGCTTAATAGATACGTATAACGTAGGAAGCCTACGTAAGACGATATTTTATCAGAGCAAATGTTTTACGATAATTTTAGGCGAAACAACAAGATACTTACGCCGCCCGGACGCGAGGGCATTACTCTTTCCTGGCCGATGCACTCATTTGGTGATCCAACATCTTGAGTGTTTACGCCGAAGTGTCAATTGACCTTGTTAAAACCGTCGAGATTCGAGATCACCTTTCCTACACAATGCCCTTTAAAGTGTGATGTCAATTACCATGTATTCCTCACAATTACCGAGTTGCATGCCGTCGAATTATCAGCTGAATTAGAACTAATAAAGTGTATCGTTGTGTGCGTTACTAACGATGTGTACTTAGATATCAGATAAGTAAATGGTGCGGTTTCGTTAGTTGCTTGAAATAATTAGGTGTGCTCATCAAGTCGAGATTTCGTCATTGGTTTACGTAAGCTTTATGTAACTCGCTTCAGAGTGCACGGTCGCTGACTGTCCATTATGAATAAAATGCTTAAGAGTAACCTTTGTTATGCTTAGTGTAACTGAGTCGTGTGACGAAACGCCTTGAAATATAATATGAGGATGAACACACGCTTGAGCCGTCCTACTTAGAAGCCAAGGTATTCTGGCTGAGTCAGCTGAGAAAAAAATAAATTCTATATTCACATCCTTTATGCTTAGTCATAATTACCGGCAACATCGACTCATTATCGAGATTGTAAAGATGTTATCATAACTCATCTGTTTATCATGTGATGTTTTTATCAGATAACTGTTCTATACTTTTAGGTATAAAGTGGACCCCACAGACGTTGTCCTGCATGATATTTAAAGCGATTAGGATATTAAGCAAAGTATGAAAGTACCGACTGCAGTGCCATCTGCCGGGCTGATTTGTGAATCTAAACCATTCCCAGATCCCCTTGAACACACACAAAAAATTTCATCAAAATCGGTCCAGTCGTTTAGGAGGAGTTCAGTCACATACACACGCACAGAAGAAATATATATATTAAGATAATCACCAAAGTTTACACGCAACGTATGTAATAATATTCATTAAACAACTACTTGAAACTTTAAACCCCAAAAGTAAACCAAATATTAATGTTATAAAGAAAAACAGCCATTTAAAAGCCACACCTATAAATAAATAAGCCTTTCATGAACCCCAATCACCCTGTAATATACACGCTCGCAACACTCGCCCATTATGTAGCTAATAGAAATCCAACTGAGTGAAAGTGTCTGTCATATGACGGCTATAGAGAACAGCTGTATGAGTTGTGCGTTGATCATAATGCGATCGACGCTATACATATTCATAACATTTATGTTTACGTTTTTTCCCAGATATCATGCAACATCTTGTCAACTGCTCTTAATGTGTAAGATAGAGAAAGAAAACAATTTTATAAAAAAATATTACGTTTATTGCGATGGAGCAATTCGAAGGCACATACCACATACCTTGGTACGCGCGCTCCGTCAACGTAATATACGTCTATATTCATTGAGAATCATGCATAAAACTTTTCAGCATTTGTTTACAAACAAACTTGTCAATTATCATTTAAGAGTTAGGCGGCACAAATAAGGGGGTCGTAAGGTTGTAGAATTGGGAGTGGATTCGTAAGGACTTGTTGTGCGCGTTCCTCGTGCACCTTCAGGAGAACCAGGTCCAAGGCTGCGCGAGCGTCTTCAAGGGGCGAGTGGCCGGAGCTACTTCGCTGCACGCTACGGCCGAGCAACTCTTGCGAAAGAGCCCGTAGAGATCGACGTAGCGGAAAGCCTCGAGAGTGAGGATATAATGCACAAGTATCCACAACTGCACCGTGCAATAACTTTAAAGCTCTTAGGTCGTTCTCCAAGGCGTGCCCGATCAATATTGTATCGTTTCCGATGAATCCAAGTATATCGTTTTGAACATCTCTTAGCGTCTTAGTCGCGCGCGCCAAGTCGCGCGGCCTGATGCCTGAGAAGCGTGTGTTGTGGTCGACCACCGGGAAGCTGGGCTTTACTAGCGACCTGTACACAAGTCGACCGTCTGCTGCTATTACGGCAATACTGGCCAACTCGAGACCAGCCGTTGTGTAGCACATCTCTGTATCTATCGCATAAATACCTCCTCTTGGTGATCGAGCACGCACATATCCTTCAAGTGGTCCATTCATGCCAGGCTTAGTGCCGCTCCATACGTGAAAGCGCGCCGTACTGCATCCTCTCGAGCCGAAAGGCGCATCGCAGCATGTGTGGCGAGAATCACTGCTAATACGTCCCCAATGATACACACAACTGTCTTCAAAAACATATTCGCCATCACGAGTCATTCTAAACATTTTATCACAACGCACACATAAATGTTCCACTGCATCCGCTTCTTCATCACTTTCGGAGCGGGGGGTCGATCCCCAAGACCCCCTGCCACTGTCACTATGGGATCCGCTGGGGACGAATTCCGGCGCATTTACGTCAAACGATTTAAAAGGTCGAGGCCGCGGCGGCGGGTTAATATACACCACGGCCTTGGACGAGTTGGGCTCTATCTCCAAGGGGTAGCCCAGGGCCCACATCCGCTTGGGGGATAGCAGATGCGGGCGTAGGGCCTCGGCTAGTTCTTCGGCGGAGATCCTCTGCGGCGTCGACGTCGCCGGCGCGGGCGGGGAGCGGCGTCTATCGCGGGGCTTGCGCCGGCGTGCTGCAGCGCCGGCAGGGTCCACCGCAACGTTGGGCTCTTGATAAAACCAATCGTGCCAATGAGTACAGAAATGCATCTTTCTTGCTGGGCTTGTATACACATAGAGAGAGCGAGCGAGCGCGGAGCTGGAGACGATAAGTACGTGCAATCGCGCGCGCGGGCGCTTTACTAATGGCGAGGTGGCGGGGCGGCCCACGCTTTATACGTCACGTAGGTAGCGCGTTCGTTAACGGGACCTGCCGATCGACCAGCCTATTCTCATTTTTCTAAACAATAATAAACTACTTTCTGTAGAAATACGAGTTGAGACAATTGACCCTCTTGTTAGCCTTTATATCTTCTTTTTATATACATTGTAGCAATAAAATGAATATTCCGCAATTAACTAAGCAGTTTAGTGTCTGCAGTTTGTAAGAATGTTTATAAGCTACTGAGCAAAAAACCATATTTAAATTGATTAAATATACGCCTTGACCTAGAACTACAGCCTTGAAAACTAATTTTATCATGTAATTCCGAGAATGAGGGAAATATTAGCTAAATAGTTTTAAAGTAGTATTCAATAACACAAATTCTATTTAGAATAATTACCGAGCATAAAGGAAAAAGAAGTACAATTAGGTAAACGACGTTTTATGGTCTCATTAGTTAATAGCTCATTAATAAATAAACTAAACAAGGTTATCGATATTGTAAGTCAAACTGCGTAGAATATAGTGTAAAAATACACGCGTGTTATTCTAATGTAGTTTTGTTTACATGATAGAGTTCACGCGATTGTCGGGAAAGGACGGGCATTGCTCTTACTGCTATAAATATAATTTATACGTAGCATATATATCATCAGATATTAGAGTAAAAAATTCATCCGGCAAAACAGTTACAGATAAGGCTAAATGCCACGAAATGGTCAACTATCCGCGAATTTCTCTCATACGTAATCGTTACGAAATCGTAATTAACTTAATCCTTTCTGTGTTACATAGAGAACGACTTTTTATGAATGTTATTAATCGAAAAAAAGCTTCGTCCACGCAAACTCGTCAATAATTTTGGTAAGACATAACAGCGCAAAATGTTGCATCAACAAAAGATCTCCAACGCGAGGTCCAAGTCACGTTCGCGCAGATCAACACGTTTGTTAAATACGTCATAAGCATACTCGAAATCGGGAGAGATATTATGAAATGTATGAAAACAACTAACTCAACGCTTTCGACCTAATTTAACACATTGTACGTGTCCTACTTAACCCATAATTAGCTACTACACATCGTTGATAGAGTCCAGGCACATTTCGAGCGAATTTTCATGAGCCCTATACATCTTTTTAATAAAAACGTGTTTAAGATAATGTATAAGTATTAAAAACAGGTCATTCTTTATTGTAGCGCTTGCAGCGACATTGTAAACGTTTACATAGATCCAATTTTCACTGCAAATAAGTAAACAATATCGTCTAAATACATAAAAATTGTAAACCCGTCTAAAGGAACGAAGGCTAGCGAACTTACGTGAACCCGATTCGGAAAGTTCATCGAACGGCTGCCAAGGTTTTCGGTACATTAATCTAAAGCTGTATTTTATGATCGTTTAACGTGACATCTACTAAAATCTTTACCAAATACCAAATGCTTTGCTTAATGATTCATAGAACATTTTCATTGTCCTTAGTTTTCGAACTATGATGATTTATTTTTTTACGCGAAATCTCTGGATATTTAAGACCTACAGTAATGAATTCATGGAAAGTAATTATACTATAGCTAATATTAATTATAGTTACATTATATCAGAGTTTCTTAGAATAAAGTACGTTGGGGTATTCATTAATAAATTAGACACCTAGGTAAACTCCAACTATTTGTCTAACAACTCTAATATTTAAATAAGAGACAAACAGTATTGAGAAACGAAACTATATAGTACCAATTAACAGGTAGAATAGAATACTTCTAAAAACTTCAACGACCTATCACTTGCGTACTACGCATGTGTGCTTATACAAACATGTGGGCGCTGGTCGCTGACTCCGATAACCTTCGAAACGGTGTCAGAGCATCAACGGTACCGAATGATCATTCCTACAAACACTATTAGAAATACCTATCTAGGACGCGCGTTTTTATACCATGTCTCGCAGAATTATGTCTATGATATGATTATATTTATAGTAACCAACATATAATCTTTGTTTAAAACAATAGAAACGCAGAAATATCTGTCCTATATCGTATTAACGCCTAGGGAGTTTTCTAAATATTTGATTTATCACAAATGTGTGAGCTAGTAATCCAACATTTTGTAATTGCAGTGTACTTAATAATTGCCTAAAAGTTCGAAACATCGAGTTATGTAAATGTAAAGAAACCGCATTTATTTCGGAAAAAAATATTTAAATGAACAAAAGTTAAGAGATTTCTTAGTATTATTTAAATCTAAATTACCTGCACTAAATATGCAATTGTTTTACAAATAGATCCTGTAAGCCGATTTAGGATTTAAAACTGCTTTACCTGCTCTCTTATATCTTTAACAAAGACTTACTAAACAATTGATAAGATAATATATAACTATTTCAAAACTTTTGTATAAGCCTTTTATTGCCGCAATAAAGAATCTTTAGTATGTTTAAGAAAATTACCACGTTACCACATTTAGGCGATTACCATTTCACTGAATTATATGAAACTTAAAATAACACGTGTTGTTCCCTTATAGGATTCTAAAACTGATTTACTGTAATTCTTTTTCGAACAGTACCGGAGACACTCAAAATATGTATTCAATTTAAGTATCAGCTTGAATAATCACATTATTTTTCAATGTTATGTATTTGTTAATGTCACGTATTGTAAACGTGTGGGCTTTTTACAATAGAGTATCTTGTGTTAATTCATTCATATGTGACGTATTTCTTTGTCTGTATATTGTATATTTTAAGTTACCTTAACATTGCGGTTAGTAGGCCACGGTTAAAGAACCTTACCGGAACTAAAATACATCCTAACGAATGCTAAAGTAAGATTATAATGCATAAGCGATCTCAGAAGATTAGTCAAAAGAAATTTAATCCTAACTGCATTTAATCGCTAGCATATTTGATGTAAAAGTTATAATATCATGTGACATATTAACTTCTTAATTCGTAAAAACTAAATGACCCCAATAACCTTCCTTAGGTTTAATGTTCATACTACTCAATACGCCATACGCTATACTATACGTTAGTATGGCGTAATACAAAATTTTTTAACCAAGTTCACTTCCATGTTTTATTAGGATTTTTGTTTTGTTTTAAGACAATTTGTATTTGATCAGATCTTATAGTCAAATTGATTATATCCGTTTTTAAGTTTTAGTTAGTTGATTTCAAAAATGTATTGGATTTAACATAAGGGAGACGCTTAGCACGGCCACGATTCGAATCTTACCCTTTGTGTCACAATGAAAAATAATAGAACATCGATTATAGATCTATTAATAATAGTAACTCGAATTGAAGTGAATTGTATCAGTGCCATACTATTCTAGATCTCAAAACCCAAATAAGTCCTGTTTTGTCTTCGGTTTACACGTACATTAAAATACAATTTCTTCACTCGAAATGCAAATAATGTAATAATTTTGTTATAGTTGTGTTTAATTTGTGAATGTAATGTTCCATTAAAAAATACAAATTTAATAATTGTTGTAAAACCTAATTTAAAACCAGATTTTAAAACGTCAGTTCGTTTAAGTGGGTTAATTGCATTTCCTATTCCAAAGGCAGACATGCATCTTGATTATATGATAAATAAATAAAAGAAATATATAAACATTAATCAAAATAATGCTGTATCAATGCGAAAATAATGATTTTAGTATTTATAAGTAACCTTCCTTTAAAACATTGTCATTCAGTAGACGCCTAGAAATACTGTTTTCGGTATTTATTAATTTTTTTATAAAATCTCCTACTCAATTGCAGAGTTAATCTTCTTCTAAGATGACTAACATCTAATTTTTTTTAGACAATATAACTATTTAAAACCCACCGACACATATAAATATGATATTTATGACTCCGATAATAAGATAAAGGGAATACTTTGGCTTATATTCAATTTTTTATAGAACAGGGCAAAGGCAGGAGGCTCACCTAATGTTAAGTGATACCACCCCGCCATGAACGGTGCGAGTGCCTTGTCGGATTTTTAAGAATTCGAACGCTTTTTTTAAGAATTTCTATGCTTGAAGGACTCTAAGCAGAATTGTTTCAGAAACACTTTAGTGAGCAGCTAGTTCCACATAGTGTTGGTGCGCGTGAAAGCCTGTCTAAAATAACGCTTAGTTGGGGAACGACGGTCGTCGATGTGATACGGGTGGAATTTCGTATACTGATTACTGTCTCGATATCCTTTGATAAAACTCAACTGCAGGTATTAATCCGAACAACTCCTCTGAATACTCTCCATTTACCATACAGAGCCATGGGATCAAGCGCCTCGGCAAGGCAGCATCGTCGAATACGGTCAAGTGGAAGGAGCTGGTATTAATTGTATAATTAGTCGAATCGTTAAAGTTATACCAACACAAATCTTCTCCGTAGTTAGATTATCTTAAATAGGCTCCATCGAAGATGCGAACCGGCATTAGGTCATTATTGTAATGAGATGACGTTTATGGTGAAAGTAGCTTGGCCAATTTCGACGTCAAGTGGGTCAAGGAAGTCGAACGGCAAATAATTTTTACCCATTAAGTCACGTAATTCGTTTTCAACCGTATCTTAGTCGGTCACGCACTGATTTTTTTAAATTCGGGTTCCTAAGTTTGAGCCTGGAGAAGATTAATTTAAGTTACTCTACTGTTCCGGTTAAACTTCATTGCAGTTTGTGACATTTACTTATTGAAAAGGATAAACTGATATTTTTTGTATCTAGGGACAAACGAGCAGCCTGCACTCAGAAAGAAGTGATTCCGCCGCCCAAGAATTAATACCTGCAACGCCAAGAGGCTTAGGGTTGTATTGCCAGCCTTAAAATAAATGGTACGCTCTTTATTGCATACCCCAATAGTTTTAACAGTTGAGAAGTG